AAGCACCTGAAGGCCAAGTACTAGTGCAGCTACAGAGTGTCTTTAGGATGAAGGGAAGTAATTGCTATTTCCCCTTTATACATGCTAATAGAAGCCTTCTGGATTGCCCCCACCTTTGGTTGGTTACTTAAGGGAATGCATAAACAGAGGCATTAAGTATGGACTGAAACTGCCCTCCTGACACTATCCTATGTCTTCATCTTTCCTTTAATGTCTATAGCTAGCCTCCTGATCAGACCTTGCCTGATCTCCTGGTCACCAGGAAGCCAGATACCTCCATGTGGCAAGGAACCAATCAGAAGTTAGCTGGTGGGCTCTGGGTGTGCTTATGGTGACAGTGACAGTGATGTGCAGAGCACAGCAACCGCTGGAAGGGCAACCAGTTGACCAATCAACTCAGGACAGGTTGTCCAAGCTCAGAAGTGCACAAATCCTGAGACTGTTGTGGACCCCTGGATACTCCCCTTTCTCTACCCCAATAAAATCCCTGCTCCTTGGTCACTCCAGGTCCTTCTCACCCCACCCACTGTGTTGGACAGCCGGAGGAACTGAGTTAATACAGTTAACTCTTTGTGCTGGAGGGATAGCTCAGCTGTTAAAGGCTAGGCTAACAATCAAAAATATAAAGACTCTCCGCTTTTGCATCAGAATAGGTCTCTTGGTGATTCTGGGGTTCAGAATTTGGACACAACGGTCTCTAATAATCTTTTTAGAAGGAAGAACTGAGTTAGTACTTAAGTCAGAGTTGCACGGTTTCCATCAGCTCCCTTTCCCAGAAAAAGTCCCACACACATCCTGCTGTCTTCAAGGTACCTTGTGTTACAGAACAATGCTTTTGTAAAGTGGCCAATGGAAGGTGACAAGGGCATCCTCCTAGCCCTACTCCAGTGTCTAAAGAAACAGATGAACTTACTTCTTCAGGAAGCCTCTTTCCAACAATCATCACAAGTTTGAGAATTGTCTAATGTTAATGTGTATTATTTATTTTTAAATTTGTCTCTGCCTGTGATGGCATCCCCTGAGTTCTGAGTTTCTAATCTGGAGTCTCACCACTCTGCCCTGACTTCCTCCTATGTAAAATATATAGTTCTTACATAGAACTATAAAGTAGAGCTAAGATCTGGGTGTAGTGGCCTATGCCAGAAATCCTAGCACTCAGATTGGAAGCAGGGGGGTCAGGAGTTCAATGTCATCCTTAGTTACTTAGCTAGTTCAAGGTCAGCATGAGTTACATGGGCCTTGTCTCAAAGCAAACAAACGAGCTTCAATGCCCAGTGTATTGTGCTCAGTAAATGTAAGCTATTGTTAGTCCGTTTTTGAATGACTGAACTAATAGGTAGTTCCCTCAAAGCCCACCTCTACAGTGACACAAAGTCACCCCCTCTATATATAGCATATACCTGTCATATATATAAATCATATACATGATACACACACACACACACACACACACACACACGTCACTGTGTGTGTGCTGGGAACTGAACCTACCTCTGCAAGAACAGCAAAGGCTTTTAACTGCTGAGCAATCTCTGCAGCCCCATTCTGGATTCTTTTTGTCGGCAGACTTACTCTTCAGGTAAAGGCTTATAGTGTCTTCAACTCAAACGCCCATCCCTACTCCACCCTTTCCTGCTTGTGTTCACTGTGATTGTCTTGCTGCTCAGACCCCTTACCAGAGGCTTCTCACAGACAGGAACCTTAACTGACCTGTAAATGGGAGTCATAAGATGGCATGGACTCAAGAGGGACTCCCAGGTGGCTGGTGGGAATATGCTTTTTATGGGGTGGGGGAATATGCTTTTTACGGAAATGTGGCTACAGGCACATTTAGAGAAAGAAAGAAAACAGGATTTTTAGAGGGGATATGAGGAACAAACAACAGCTTGGGGCAAAGTTCACCAGGGTCGGATGTGGCCTCAGCTCCAGCCTTTCTCCTGTTGAGTTATTCTGGAAGGTTCTGCTTTAGGTAGGATGGAAGCTTCAGAGAAGGCCAGTCAGGAAAGGCATCAGGGCAGTGGGAGGGCAGACACACCATGGGTCCACGGTAGTTCAAACACAGCATGCCAACGGCCATACCTTGGTTATGTTTTCGGAGCCCCAATACTCTCTCCCCACCTTATTTTTTTAATAGAATTTATCAATCCTTATCTCATCTTTAGACCCAGGTAGGACACAAGCTCCACAGAGAGCATCTGATCTCCCTCAGTACGCACAATAGCATCTTCTGGATGCTCAGCAAGCTGTTAGCTCACACTGTGCTTCATCCAGTAATTCAGTTGGCATTGTGGCCTTAGGAATCTCCTCCCATCCTGTCTGAACACGTGTCATTCCTTCCTGCTACCAGCCCAGCTCCTCCACCTTAGCCATGGCTGTCCTCAGGAAGAAAGGGTCTAAAATGGTGGCTTGGTGCTGCTGAAGGCCAGGCATGGGGTAACTCTGTCTGATCTTCGCTTTCAAAGAGGGCACCCTTCCCTCAAAGCCAAGGCATGGAAGTTGAGGGTGGGGACAGGCTGCTGCCACCCTCTCTTCACTGTCATGAATGGGGGATGTGTCTGCCTCTTACTTGATGGGTCAGGAGATGGGCCATGAAATTTTACCTTCTATTTCTGAGAGAGATGAAAGTTTCTAGGAATTAAGTCCAGTTTCACATGGGATAGATGACAATGGTGACACCAAAACCTCTTAGTACAGATTTCCAGGACAGACATATATCCCCAAGCACCTTCAACTGTGTGGATACACACTCTGAGCCATCACTAGTTAGCCAACATACAGGAAGCAGCAGAAGTTAATCTTGGAACTGTTTGGACTACGCTCTGTTGGAATATGCTAAGGACAGATTTGTGGAGTCACCATCCCATTAATTCTACAGTATCCACAACCAGTACCCCCTCGGGGGAAACTAACAGCAAGGCTCCGGCAAGGAAGAAAAGGACAAAAAATAACTCTGAAAGCACAGAAATGTGAGAATGAAGATGAAACACACACAAGGAGCCTTTCCTAAAATGAGAACTGGTGTCAGAAAGTTAAACATAACTGGCTCTGGAGATGGAGAGAGCAGCTGGAAATGGAGCCCAGTGCATGACAAAGCAAGCTGGCTCAGTGTCTTTCATGGCTATTCTTTTCTGGTATTGAGGTGATTTTTTTAATAAGATACATTTCTTCAGAAGCTAGTCACCAAACACCAAACAATCCAATTAAAAAGTGGGGTACAGAACTAAATAGAGAATTCTCAATAGAGGAATCTAAAATGGCTGAGAGACACTTAAGAAAGTGCTCAACATCCTTAGCCATCAGGGAAACGCAACTCAAAACAACTCTGAGATACCATCTTATACCTGTCAGGATGGCTAAAATAAAAAACACCAATGACAGTTTATGCTGAAGAGGATGTGGAGAAAGAGGAACACTCCTCCATTGCTGGTGGGAGTGCAAACTTGTACAGCCACTTTGGAAATCAGTATGGAGATTCCTCAAGAAAATGGGAATCAGTCTACCCGAAGATCCAGCAGTTCCACTCTTGGGCATATACCCAAAGAATGCACATTTATACAACAAGGACATCTGTTCAACTATATTCATAGCAGCATTGTTTGTAATCACCAGAACCTGGAAGCAACCCAGATGCCCCTCAACCAATGAATGGATGGAGAAAATGTGGTACATGTACACAATGGAGTATTTACTCAGAGGAAAAACAAACAATGAAATCTTGAAATTCGAAGACAAATGGATGGAACTGGAAGAAAACATCCTGAGTGAGGTAACCCAATCATAGAAAGACTCATATATGGATATTAGACATAGAACAAAGGACTACCAGCCTACAACCACATGACCATAGAAAGTAGGAAACAAGGAAGACCCCAAGAGAAGAACGCATGGTCCCCTGAAGAAGGGGAGGAGGACAATAATTCCTGAGCAAATTGGGAGCGTAGGGGAGAAAGGAGAGAAGGGGAGAGGGGGGAGGAGAACAGGAGAGATCAGGAAGACTGAGACAGGGGAGGAATAGAAGAGGGCAAGAAAGGAGATACCTTGATAGAGGGAGCCAGTATTTTTTTAGAGAGAGGTCTGAAACAAGGAAAATATTCAGGGATCCACAGGGATGACCCCAACTAAGAATTTATGCAGTAGTAGAGAGGCTGCCTTTGATGCCTTCCCCTATAATGAGATTGATGACTACTTTCGCTACCGTTCCTAGACTCTTCATTCAGTAGCTGATCAGAGCAGAAACAGGCACCCGCACCTAAACACTGAGCCAAACTCCTGGAATCCACTTGTGGAGAGGGAGGAGGGATGAGCAAAGGAGCCAAGACCATGCTGGGGAAACCCGCAGAAACAGTTGACATGACCTAGTGAGAGCACAGAGCCCTAGTCATAAAGCCAGGGAACCAGCATTGGACTGAACCAAGGTCTCTGAATGTGGGTACCAGCTAGGAGGTCTGGGCCGTATATGCAACCTAACAGTGGAGCCAGAGTTTATCCCTAGTACACAAATGGACCTTGGAAGCCCATTCCCTATGGAGGAATAGTATCACAGCCCAGATACAGGAAGGAGGGCCTGGGCCCTCCCCCAAATGATGTGATGAACTTTGATGATCCCCTGTGGAGGACCTCACTATCCCTGGGAAGTGGTTGGGGGGTTGGTTGGGAGGGTTGGTGGGGGGCATGAGAGGATGGGAGGGTGAGGGAATGGGGGGTATTGATATATAAAATAAGATTGTTTCTAAAATAAAAAAAATTTAAAAGATACATTTCCTCTGTTTCTTTAAAAAAAATGTCAGTGGGGAGTTCCTGAAGGACATGTCATTTCCACAAACTTGTGTTTAAAAGGGCAAGTTTGAATCTAGTGGGGCTTTGTTACTGGACAAATGAAGGGTAACGATGCCTTGACATAAATGGTCTTATTCTAGTGTGTGTGGCGATTTTTAAGGGAGTGTGAAGGAGAGAAAAATACGGAGCCGGCAGTTATTCCACAGTGTGACTCATCAGCAGGCTTCTCATCTAGACAGGCTCGTCTCTTTTTGTTTAATAACCAAAGCAGAGAGAATGCAGAACCGACAGTTTCAAATAACATTACAGGGAAAAATAAAGAAACGAGGGTAGGGGAGAGTGTGGTCATCAAACGCAGCCACATCCGGTCATAAGTCTAACCCTTGCAAGGAACAAAACACAGGTCAGGTCGGGGGTACCAGCTCCCACTATCTACAGCAGAAGCTATACCTTTGGAGGAATCATGGTCACCCCTGCTCCTCGTCTGCCCCCCTCTCAGTTGAAAAGTCAAAATGCCCACTCTCAGTGGGTTCCCTTTGCTTGGGAAAAACTGTGATGGTCAAAGGGGCTGAAATCCAGTTCATTCTGAGCTGTATGTCCTTGAGTTGTACTTGTCCAAAGAATCATGCTTTTGGGGTCCATAACTGGGTTATTTAGAAAGGGCTCCTTCCTAACCTAGGGGCTGGCACTGGCTTTTTTGGAGCATATGATGGATGCTGGAACATGGGCTTGGAGAAGAGTTTTCACTCTGGAGAACATTTTCCTTTCTTACTTCCTGATGCTGACCCTACCCTCATCTGAACCTCCGAATGTATTAGACTTTTTCACAATTTACCCACAGACCCATTCAGCTTCTGAAAGGCCAGAATATGAGGGCCCTAGACAAATTCCTGCAGTTCTTTCGTCTCTTTGCTGCTTTTCTAAGTTTATGTGGTGCCTGTCCCCTCGTGTGAAGGCTGTGGCTGCTGTTCTATAAATCTAGCCTCCCTCGTTTCTCACTCACACGTGTAGTTTCTGAGACAGGGCTCTAACAGTCTCGCTGCATACTATTATGCTGCTTCCAGCCTCTCCTTAGTATGAATGGGGTGCATCTCTGATGCTGTTTCCACACTGTGCTGCCTCTTAGACTTTATATGACATCTATTTAATGTTCGTGTTCATGGAGGGCTTAGCAATGTATCCAAATATATTCTTTAAGATTTGGGTAAAAAGTTCAATTATTCAGATATTCAACAAATGTTTATTGGTACTTATGAAGCATTGAAAGCTTATCGAGGATGATATCAAGATAAGCTCATATCTTGATTTTAAAGGCTGAAATACCATTTTTTTAAAGTCTTAAATAAAATGGAAGGCAGTCTGGAAGACACCATACTTCTAACAATGCTCTGGAAATGCAGTTGAATTTGATATGCAGTCAGGAGTTTCCGACAGACGTTGATTGTACAATAAACTTAACACAGAGAACGTGCCAGTGTGACAGAGGGGCTTTAAATCAGGTTTAAGGCTTGTCATGCCTCAGTACACGTGCTAATATTTTAGTCAGTCTCTAGCACAGCTGCTAAAACATGTGGGCTCTGTAGATCAAATGGAACTTGTAAATTTCATGAGTTCTGCATTCTGATTCTTAAGATTATTTTGCTTTTCTAATTAGAAAGCAGACATTGCTTCTGATAGAGGACATCAAGATTTATTGATCCTCCCCAAATATCTTGCAGAACAATAAATTTTGTACTTCATATTTTAAAAAGTTGATACACAGTTCTTTTGAGCAGCAGAAGAAAATGTCAAAATTTAGCACATGTCACAGGAAGCTAAGTGCTCATTCAGAAAGCAGACTTGCAAGTGATGTCTATTTCAACTAAGAGCAGTTTTTTTGCAATTTTTCTGAGCTAATCAAAAGATTTAATTCTTAAGGATACAAGTGTTTACTTCCTTCTGAATTTTAACAAGTATTAAAAATTTCAAGGGCTTTTCCTCTCTGCCATTCTTTAATTTCTCTTCCCTACACATCAGTCATCAGAACTTATTCTCTCTCCATGGGCTTCATGACTATGCTTTTCAGTCTTAAGTTTTGTAAGTGGCTTCCTCTGGACCATCTTTTCATAACTTCTCTTCACACACTGAGTCAGGTAATCTATTTCTCTTCTTTGTCTAGCTTGCAAGGCTGGATTGTGCCATTATTCCCAGCTTTGCTGACTGACACACATAGTGTCCTATACATGATCTAGGAGCCAGTCATACCTCGAACCGGTCAGAGTAGTGTTGGGCTGCATTTCTTCAGGTGTTCACACATCCATTTACTTGGTATCAGTTGACTTGTAACCTGGAAAAGCCACTTATCCCTTTCAGACTCTAACACTGGGCTACAAATTTTATGCAACAAACCTGATGTCTTAGGTGAAACTCAGTAAGACTGGTCAGAAAAATCATGCTTGTTGGGACCAGAGCCCAAGAAAGTGGGTCACATGTGACATCAAGGAAGGAAATACATTAATAAGATTTAAATATTTAATCTACTTGCTTACGTAAATTTGGCAGCTAATTCCATGTCCAAATCAATTAAATGACAACATTCAGGGTTATTAAGTTCAGTATTGTAAACTTGAACAAAGAATGTTTCCAGACAATTTGTTAGTTCAGAAACAGATTTTTTTGACTTTCAACTTCTCTTTTACAAATTTAACTACATAAGACCTTTTAATACTTATTATTATTTGTTAATTATGTGTAGGTGTATGCACCTGTATGTGGTACGTATATATGAGTGCAGTTAATACACTTCTGAACACTTCTGTAATCCTATATTTATCAGATGCTCAGAAAATGCTTAGACCAGCCCTTAAACTTAGCACAGTCCCAAACCATAGTCATGTTTCCAGGATAAGAACTAAGAGTTTTGTACGGCATTATTAATAATGAAGCTTCTGAGGTTAAATATCAGGGGTTAGTTTTGTTTTTTTCGATGTGTACTGCTGATCTTGCTTTTTCAGCACAATGGTGCTACAACCTCATAGCACCTCCTAAGTCCAGTAAAGCATTGCCAACTGCCAAGTTTGTTTTTAATGGCCGAAAGGCAAAAATTTGGTCTAAAGAAGCAGGATGCTGGAACATGTAGCAGTGAATTTTTGATTCCCAAACTACTTCTATGGTTCAGTGAAGATTACGGTAGCTGGCACAAATTATGAAAACTGGGGTTTCACTTGATTCCAATCACTGCTTACCATTCAACTGCCGCTGGCATGCAAAGGTCTAATGAAGGCAAACAGAATACAACATCTACCTCACTAGCACATCAGTTCGCCCATTGCTGGCTGCCTGGATTAGCTTCAACACAAAAGGCACAGCAGGAAAGCTATCACCTATGCTTCCTACACCCCCCTGGCTAGCTAACCAGACACGAGTCCCCATTGCTTGGCTTGACTTCTCCTTCCAGCAGCAAGTTCATCACAACCTTCATCAGATAGCTGCAGGTTCCTCGTTTTCCCAGTGGGGGCGTGTTGTAGAAGGAGGTCATATCATCCTACAAAGGAAGAGAGTAAACAAGTCCTTGGAGTTGACAGGTGAAATCAGCAGCTGCCTGAGAGGGAAATACATTTGCAGAAAGATTTCCTCATGGAAATTATGAGCTTCCCACACTTCACTTTCATTTTCCCCAGGCATCTTCTCAGCATATAAACAAAAGCAGACACTTTTAGCAGCCTTCCCTTTGCTAGTGATTATTTACTTAGGGAAGGAACCCTTTCACAGATGAGCATATAATATTAAACAGAGAGCCCAGAAGGGACTACATTAGACAGTACATAGCCCCAGTGTTGCCCGTTCTACACACCCATCTTCCTCTGAATTTATTTTACAGCCTTCTGGAATCAGTGGATTCTCCCTGGCAAAACACATTTTAATTGTCAGCCATATAAAAAACTATCTCATCTTAGATTTCTTTTTCTTCTTTTGTCAGAACTTCATAGCTCAATCAACTAGTAATTAGCTAAAAAGCAATATTAATTCCTCAAGTAAGTCTGACGGTCTCTCAAGCATTCTAATTTTGTACTCTGCAAATCTGTTTTGGGTGTGAAATGGTAAGATTAGAGACCATTTCAACAGCTGAAACAATGAAACTTTCGTCCGAATGCTGGCTTCTCCACTTACTTGTTTCTCTATTTCTTTCAGCCGACTCTCATCCTTTTGGAACTCGTGAAATGCTTCTTTGACCAGTCTGTCTAAATCCACCTTGTCTTGAAATTCTAGTTCAGGGTTTCTTTCCAGCACAATGGACACGACCATTAGTAGCTACAAGAGACGGATATCAAAAGCCACCTACATGAACCACAACAGTGACACAGTCTGGACAGGGTTTCATCATGGATCTGATGACCAGCACTCTGTATATTAAGAAGCATTATGGATAGGATCCTAACTCTGAACATAAGTAGCACCTGTTCTATTTGGAACAAGCATGTTTATCACAGTATTCCTATAACCACAGAAAGATCTTTGAGTCACTGCTAGTTTTTTGAAGATGCATTTTGGGGATGGAGAGAAAGCTCAGTTGGTCAAGAGCTTGCCTTCATCAACCTATTTGGCTGCACCACAATTTGTCCCCAGATAAGATTTTATTTTTGATTATGCATAAGTGTGTGTGTATGTGCACAGTGTCTGCATGCAAGTGCAGTGCCCACAGAGGCCAGAAGAAAAGCGGGCACTGGATCTCTTGGAACTAGAGTTTTAAGCAATTATGAGCCACCTGATGTGGATGCTGGGGACCAAACTTGGGTCATCTAGAAAAGCAGCAAGTGCTCTTAACCATGGAGCCATCCTTTCAAGATCTTATAATGCTCATTTTATTATTAGTTTTAATTTTCAGGTTTTTTTGGAAGAAGGTCTCTTTACATAGTCCTGGCTGTCCTGGGACTCAGAGATGTACGCACCCTCTGCTTTGTAAGTGCTGGAATTACAGGTCTGAATTACCACAGCTGGCTTATAATGCTCAGTTTAGACAACAAACGTCCATGTATGTGGTAACTGGTAAGGGCCTTCTGATGAGCCTTATGCTTTGTACACTAACCAGCAAAGACTTCCTAGTTCCAAGCTTAGGAATCTTACTGGGTACATCTTATCTAAATGCTGCGAGGCAGAACTTGAAGACACTACAGTAAAATCCCGGGGTCACAATGTGGCAGACCTATGGGCGGGGAGGGCATTAGACAGATAATACGTTCTTGTGTTGCAGTTCTAAAGGACATTTCTCCAGCTGGGGAAAAGGCGCCAAGGTCATCAGAGGTCAACGAGAAGACTATCTTCCTGGACACTGCACATGAAAAGCTAAGGATATGGCACAAAGAAAGCATCCTTCTAACCCTGCCTTTCTGGACCTCCATCTCTGCACTGCTCCTTCTACCTGCTGTGTGACAATCCTATTCACATCCTGGGCCATCAGAGGTGAGACTGAATATCACTCGGGTTTGGCTGCAGCTCCAGAAATAACGGTGGAGCAGGGGCCAAATCTACGTGAATATTTACTGCAAGCTCCTATGTCAATAAGACACACGAGTTACTTGCAAGAATATAATGTCTGATAGAAACATTGCCAGAGAAAGAGACAGTGGGAGCATTGGCCATACACTAAATTCTGCATTCCAGGAACTCACTGTACAGGGTTATATGGGACTGAGGGCAAGTATGTGAATGTGCTCACAGGTACATGTACTTTAGCGTGCTATACAATGTCTTCTCTTCACAGACGAAGCTTGGAAAGATGTCCTTTGATCACTAGCAGCAAGGATCTCTTGCTCCCCATAATTCTTTAAACTCTTCCAACATTCTACAATCGTCGCGTACTATTCCTAAAAGTAGGAGAAGCTGAACACTAAATGGAAGGCAATGATTGCTCCCTCTGCTGTTATGGTTCTGTTATGCACTGGCTGTGGCAGGATGAGTGGTCCATTTGGTTTCTCCACCGAAGGGAGTTTACGGTAAGGTACTTGGTCCAGGTCAAGGATGTCTGTCTTCTTGGTGACTCTTTTGGAGGAGCTGACAGGTGATGGGCAGAGTTCTTGGTTTTGGGGGAGAGGGTAGTTTTTTGATTTTTTAAAATTATTCTTCACTGAGCAGACAGAAGCAAGCCTTCAATGATCTACTTTTTTCTTTTTTAATACAAACCTCTACAATGATCTGTCTGTACTTTGGCTGGTCAACATTTCCCAACATGTCTTCAACAAGGAGGGAAAAATTCATCTCATACATGGTCATATCCGACAAGGTTGGTTGCTGAAAAAGAAAAAAAGATCACAATCACATTAACATGCTGAATGTTATCCTGTGTATCGTTTAATAGAGGAATTTCATTTTCTAATCAATAATCTTTCCAGTTTCTATAAGACCAGAGAGATCATTTTCACTCCTGTGACCAAATTTTATATATGTCAAACTACTGAAGCCAGCCAGCCAACTACTGTGATAAATTAAGCCTCCCACTTTTAGTAGTTATCTTCATTATGCTAGTAATTTTAGGGGAAAGGACTGTATTAAAAATCCATTCCATAAATAAAAGTAACAACTAGAAATTGAGACTATGAATAGAGTACATATTGTATTCAGAATTAACATGAGAAGTTATGCTTGCTGTTGGACTTTAGGATGTAAGTCATTGTTATTGAATTTGTAACATTTCTTCTGTTTTTCCCCAAGCTTCCAACAGAAAAAATGCAACAAATAAGCAAAAATTATGTGAAGAAATGGCTGGAAACAGAAAAAAAAAGAGGCAGAGGCAAAGCTAAAAGAACCTTTCCCTTTGCCTTTTTTGGGACAAATCACTGAGGACACTGGGTCCCATCCACATCAGAGCATGGAGAGCATGGTGGCCAACTGTGACTGGATTAAGAAGCACACAGAGCTTTAAAGAGGGACACCAGAAAGGTCTGAGTAAAGAAGACCCAGCCTAAATGTAGGCAGCAGGAGCTGCGGTCTGGATAAAGGGAAAAAGCCCAGCATCCCTCACTTCCTGTTTCTGGCTCACACCTTGAACCCCACTGTTCCCACTGTCACCCTTTCACTGCCACAGCGGACTGCGCTCCTCTGAACCACGAGTTACGATAGACCCTTTCCCCTTTGTTGCTTAGGGCCAGGTACCTGGTGAGAAAAGTAAATATGACAGAGAGAAGTCCTAAGGACAGGAGGGAGAAATCCTAATTGGCAGGTGCCAGGAAGGCCAGTAGCATTATTCTAAGAGACGCAGAAGACAGCACCCACTTGCTTTTTTATCCCAGTGGTTTACAAGGAACTTAGCCATAGCTTTAAAACAAAGTGCATCTATTTGCTACTTAGACTAGGACTGAGGAAGCCCTTCTTGACGTAAGTGACAAAGGCATTCAGTCTGCTGTGATGACGCCTCAGTCCTATATTCAGTACAAGTATTGTACTCCACAGTCAGTATAACCCAATATATTGTTACAAGTAGTAAGTGATTTGGGAAACCTGCAGCTGGGCTGCCAGGACAGGTGGCTACTGTGAGGGATAGTTCGGTGCTAAGAATACTGTTCTTCTGGAGGACTCCCAGTACCATGTCAGGTGGCTCACAGCCAGCTCCAAGGGCAGTCTGACACGTCTGGTCTCTGTGGGCACCTGCACTCATGTGCACATATCCATCACTCAGGCCTTTAATCCAGATCTTCCAGGCTGGGAAAAGACAGGCCTTCAATCCCGTCTTGAGTTTCTTTAAATTTGTCTTTCATCTTTCCCTTATGGTACTATCTCTATAACTCCTAAAAGAGAGTTTCTTTCACTAATACTTATATTTATTTGAAAGTTTTAATTTACATATAAGTAGGTATTTTAACTTATGTTTGTTAGGGCTAGGGTTAGTTCAAAGTGTTCAGTGGTTATGGGTTCTTCTGGGTGTAGACCAGATGCTTTTGCAAGTTAAGCTACACTGTGATTATTCCAAGCATACACACACACACACACACACACACACACACACACACACACACACACACTATAAGTTCTGTTACTCTAGAGAAATCTGACCAATACAACACACATAGTTAAGAATAATAAAAATAAACTAAAAATAAAAAAGATTTTCAATAAATAACCTAATGACGCACCACTAGGTCTTAGAAAACAGAGCACTCTTAACCTCAAAGCAATGGATGGCAATAAATACAGAGCAGGGAAGAAATGAATGGAATGGAGATTAAAAGATCAATACATAGAACAACTCAGGTCTATAACAATCTGAGACTGAAATGGCCACAGATCCAAAGAAAGAAAGAAAGAAGAGAAAGGTCACACAGACTTGTAACCAGAACTGAGTCTGTAAAATGAAACAATACTTAATATACATGTATATATTTTTAATGCAAAGAGAGGCTGGTAAACACAGCTGAGACCATCATAGAATCAAATGGAGCCTGATAGGTATGGTGGGGTGGGGGCTTGAGATAGGTGACCACACTGCACTGCCCATGAGGGCTAGTAGCAGAGGAACTGTCATGGTTGTCAGGGGACAGGCTGGCTAGAACAGCAGCCATGGGGCATCTGAAAGAAGGCTAGGGCACCCAACTTTTGAGTTCAGTTCAATGAAGAGCCCATAACAGATCCTTAGACACCGCCTCCCTTTTTCTACCGATTTCTTGTGAGCTGTTTCACAGACACTCTTGTGTTTGTATAAGCAAACACACATGGGCTCATCTGAGACTATTTTTTTTTCATATAAAGAGCCACCTCAAAGTTAATGTGGTTAAGTTTCAATACTAGAAGCAGATACTGTACTCCATTTCTGCTTCCGTATATGCAGAGTGAGTTGAGTATCAGGACTAAATAAATGATATCACATCAAAGAAGCAGGCCATGTTATATAATCAAGAAAACCATCCATGCACAGAAGGCTCAGCAGTTCCTCAACACCATCAAGAAGTCACACCACAAGGAACCTGAAAGCCTGTCTCTCAGCCCAGGGCTACGTCTCAGCAGCGCTTCCCTGCTCCGCACAGCATAAGGCCACTCTGCTGCTGGCGGAATCTACTTCTGCTTTTCCATGTATGTTGTATGTTTGTGAAGCCCCAGCAGTGGTGGAGAGAGATCACTACTGGAAGAAAGCTAATGCACTGTGCAGGTTAGTTTTGGTCAACTCAGCACAAGCCAGGGTAATCTGGGAACATCAACTGAGAGATGGCCTCCATCAGATTGGCCAGTGGGCAAGTCTGTGGGGGGCATTTACCTGATTAATAATAATTGATGTGGGAGGGTCCAGCTCACTGTGGGCTATGCCACCCCTGGGCTGATGGCCCTGAGTTATGTAAGCAAGCAGGCTGACCCACTTGTCATCGACTGTAACACTCCAGAGAATGGGCCCTGTCCCTGGCCTAGCCAATCCTGTTGGCTCTATTACTCACTGTCATGTGGCAGTGTGGGCAAGGGAGAGACGTCATTGTGTCATCTTCTCGTGTCACACCCATCGATGCCTGAGGTAGGTGGGAGAGCTGGCCATGAGGTCCTACGCATGGGAGAGCTATCCCTGTCCTCCCCCACCTGCTGTAACACTCAGGAGAAAGACCCCTACACCTCTCCTGGACAACACAGCAGAGCTGGCCCTGAAGGTGCAGGTGTGGGAGAGCTGACCCTGAGGACAGGAAAGCAGGAGAACTGGCCCTGCGCATCACAGCAAGGGGCGAAGTAGCCAGGGCAATACCGGAGAGCTCACCCTGATGGTGAAGACAGGGGAGATCTGGTGGGCTGACCAGGGCTGCAACTAACTACCCAGGCCCAGAACCAGGGTTATGAATTAGTCCACCCCAATATCCACCCCATCTGTGATCTGCTGGAGCATGTGAAGGGACTGGACCCAAAGCTGCAGGATCCACAACACAGGGCAACAGCTGGATAACCAACAGGAGTCCCGGTGAGGACTCTGCAGTGAACACTTGCAGTAAAGACACACGGATAAAAGGGTTTACTGCACGGCTCACGGAGTCACACTACAGCCTCCATGGGCACATCCCCCCCTTGCATTTCTTTTCCTTTTTTCTCTTAAATTGTATCAGGTGGGGGGAGGCTGCAAGGGCACAGGGAGGATACACAGGGACAGGAAATGAATAGGATCAAGATACATGATGTGAAAGACACAAAGAATAAATAAAAACAAAGTTAAAAAAAAAAGGCTGAGCAAGCCATAGGGATCAAGGCAGTAGGCAGCGTTTCTCTGTTTCTGTTTCAGTTCCTGTCTAGAGCTCCTGTCCTGATTTCCCATCATGGTAGACTAGAAACTGAAGACGAAATAAGCCCTTTCCCCCACAAGTTGCTTTTGGTCATGGTGTCTATCATAGCAATAGAAAGCAAACCAATACATATAAGAAGCCCTAAATTTACAAATAACTGAACAGAAAAGAGACAGCTTGCTCAATAAGAGGCTTCATCATGTGTTATCTATTAAGAGAAGGTTCTGCAAGCATCTGAAATACTCCAATACAAGGACATAGATACAACTCAGCAATTACACATTTGGTAAAGCTTTTCTGTATACATAGACACTGAAACTAGAGAATAAAAGAAACATGGACTGGATAAAAAACAATTCTGATGCAAACAACAACTTATATTCTGGCGTTTTATCTTGTTTTGAGCACCCCTGTTTTGAACATTCTTAGAACACTGCAAAGAAGAAAAGTTGTCTGCAGTGCAGAGGGGAGAGAACCCCTTTCCTCCCGTTGGTCCTTTCTCCCTAGCCACTTTACCTGTGGCAAATGCTTCCCGGCTACGACGATACCATTGGGGGTGCGCTCCAGGATCTGCCACACCCGGTCGTAGAACCCAGGAGGAGTTCTGTTCAAGGACCCATCAATCTGACGCCTATCCAGCCAAGATCTGTAGAACAAAGGAAAAGTCACTGTGCTGAAAATCAACTTTGTTTTTGGAGAGAGCAGGACTCTGTGTGCAACAGAGAGAGTGAGAGTAAAAGCTTCAGCGGCGTACGTCTGCCATGCTTAGTGGAGGAAGAGGAGGGCACAGTCACAAACTCTGGCATTCACAGGCACAATGAGGCTCTCTAGCAAGCTATGAGTTGCTCACGACATCCTCAGATGATTTTCCCTTATCAAATTCACGGTTATTTTACAATGTTATCACATTAATAAAATGTAAGCACCAGAAAGGTATGGATATCATATAGCTTGATCATTTCTATAGATCCTTACCAGAGTGGGCTCAATAAACATTTGGTAAGAAATGAACAGCAAATGTTCAGAAAGGTATTACATATCTATCTATCTATCTATCTATCTATCTATCCATCTATCTGTATGTATATGCAAAATGAAATGATCTTATCTTATTTTAAATCTTATAAAAGTTGCCCATTTAAATAAGGCTGAAGTCTCAGTTCAAAAACCTAGTTATGAAATCTTAAATGTCAACCAGATACAGAATCTTACACATCAGAGTTATAACCAGAACCATAATAATAAACCTAAATTCTATTAAATTACCATTCACAAACGCCAAAGATACAAAACTTGCTTTGTTTTTAAAGAACACACAGTGACACAGTATAATTTTTTCAAAAGCTGAAAATTATGTGTGTGTGTGTGTGTGTCTCTGTGCCTTTGTGTGTGTCATTTACACTTGGTAAAGACAGACTGAAACGCACAATTATCACACTCAAGGTGTGTCAGGATCAACAAACTGGCAATATTTCTAAGTACAAACGTGGCTGTGTAAGACAGAGCAAACAGCTAAAGACACATGCTATTGTGTGGCAGAGGATCAGTGCAATTTGATACATTTAGTGATTAAGAGTGATCTTCTCTGGATGGCTGAAGTTTCCATTAATAGACCCAGACTTACACTATTGCTTTCAGTTTTTTACTAAAAGGCAACAAGGTCAAGCACCTAGTGGTACCTTGATGATGTTTTTCTTTGGTAACTGAATACCCTCTGCATTTGTATTTTCACTAAATGTGACAATAACAAAGATACATTTCATAGCTCTATGAGGTTACGGCAAATACTTTAAAAGGAGTATTTGCCTGGAACATCAAAAGAATATGAGAATGCTCACAATGGAGCTGGGAAACTACTTTGCAATACTTATTATTATTATTATTATTATTATTATTATTATTGGTATTTTGCATGTATGTACTATGTGTAGGCCTGGTGCCTGTGGAAGGCAGAGAGGGCACTGATTCCCTGAAACTGGAGCTGTGTGGTTCTGAGCCACCCTGTGGGTGCTGGGAATTGAAGTGGGATCATTGTAAGAGCAGCCGGTGCTCTTAACCACTGAACCATTTCTCCAGCTCTACTTTAAAACTGTCATAATACTTTGAAGACGTTTATAATTACAGAAGTCACAAAAATAACACAAATTCCCCATGTCTCTTCACTCAAGCCCTCTATCACTCTACCATCTTATATAACCATAGCTTCATTATTGGCACCAAGAAATCAAAAGCCATACAATAACACAAATTTATTTTTTGAGCCTTAGTGACATTCTACCAAGTTAGGCTCCAATTCAGGATGGGCTGTGTCATTTAGTTTCCAATTCTATGGTGGTTTCTTGTAAAATAATGCATTTTGGGCAAGACTATCCAGAAGAGATAGGGGGTCAGTTTTAAAACCTCACACAAGGGTAACAGAAGTGAAGTCTTATCACCAGTGATGTCAACCTTTATCATTTGGGGGAAGAGAGTCTGACAGGTTTGTCCACTACAATTAAATTACTTGTTTTTCTTTCTATTGTAAAGATGTTAAATAGAAGTTTTCACTTCACATTACTTCTAACAATGGTTCTTGTCTGCAGCTACTGCTGTAGTTTCTCAGTGATCACTTTCTGTTCCCATCAGTCTATCTGTATTTATTAATCAGATTCTGCCTTGAGGCAGAGTCCCTTCTCTCCCATTCACTGATTTCTATCAGCTTATCTGTTTATAATCTACTCCTATTATTTGTGTATTTCTTCTACAAACATGAGCAGACACACATCTGGAAAAAACAAAAAACCTCATCTCAGCTGGGAGTCCTAGGAGCCTCTTCCAGTTTCTCCAGTGTCCAATTGCACTTCTCTGGTATTTTGAGGGTTTTTTTTTTTTTTTTTTTTTGCTTTCTGTCACAAAGATGCTCCTGGCTTACATGTTTCTCTGCTTTTCTCCGAAACCAACCATTTCTCCAAGAAGGGCGGATTCTTCCTACATAGTGTTTAGAAAGCAGCTGTTTCAGGTGTGCTCATTACTGTGGCAGTTTCACTGCTCTTGGGCATCTCAGACAGAACTACGAAAGACATGAATGCATACACACAAACAGAGATCCATGTGCATTTCTGTATCCATCAGTGTAAAACCACAACTTTATATTGGTTTGTCAATTCCAACCAACCTACTCTCACCCCTACCCCTTTATAGGAATGGCCACTAATAGTGAGAAATCTCCTTTTCAGTCACAATACATTTACTCACTTATTCAGTCTTACTATACACATGAAATTCAGATTGCTATCAGAGTAATCATTATGAGGAGCTCAACTCCGCTACACTGTATCGCTTCACCATTCCCATCCATTCTTATCCTCTCTGAGCAGCACTGATCACATTAGTTTCTGACTTACTCTTCTACACAAATGAATACAAGCACTTAAAAACTAAGCCAGGCGTTGGTGGCGCACGCCTTTAATCCTAGTACTCACGAGACAGAGGTAGTGGATCTCTGTGAGTTGGAGACCAACCTGGTCTACAAGAGCTAGAGAAACCCTGTCTCGAAAAACCAAAATAAATAAATAAATAAAGATAAAAAATAAAAACTAAGAACTGACATTCTTTTGCACTTTTTCATCTTACATTATACCTTAGAATTCCATTCTTCAAAGGTGCACAGTGCCCTGTTATGTGTCATACCACATTTTGTCCTGATTGTTTCTTGTGTGTGGACATTTAGGTTATAGAAATGCTAACATTTTCTATTATAAGCACTGATTTAATGAATGATCTAATCACACACATTTGTTTTTCTGTTGTTGGAAACATATCTCCGAAGCAGATTACTAAAAGGACCTGGGCTGAAGCAAAGAGTTCTTAGATGTCAAATTCCTCCAAAAAGGGCTGTACCCCCAGTTACATGGGCAGATCCTTCTCCTCACAGCCTAGGCAAATGCTCACCACATGGTCTCACTTAGGCCCTGTGACAGGTAAGAAGTCTCTTGAAATGCCCCAGATACAGCTCTAACTGTATATTAATATCAACATCTTTTAAAATAGCCAAAGGCCATTTTTAGTGAGATGCACATATTGTTCATGTTCACCTTGGTTTGGGGTGGTTATCTATCAGTTCTTAAGAATTCTTAGATACTAACTCTTCAGAGCACATTTGGATCCAGTTTCTTGGTTTTCTTCTGACAATATTTTTGTCATGAAAAATGTTATTTAGAATCTGATATTATTAGTTATTTCTTATCCTACCCTTGGTTAAGTCACGCTTAATACCTTTCTCACTCCAAGGTTAGAGAGAAACTTACCAATGCCATCTTCTCTATCCCATGATTTACATGAAGACCTCTAATCTACTTGGAGCTGGTTCTGGTGTATCATAACAAGTATCTGACTTATCTTTTTGTAAACAGTGATCCAGTTGTGAAAAGTATTTATTTTAAAAGTCCATTCTTGATCCAGTGACTTGCGATGGCAATGTTACCATGTAGCAAATTGCCAATGTGGATTGACTGAAGGGTCATCTCTGTACTCTTTTTCTCTCCTTAGGCCTATCTGTTCAGCACCAGCACCACACTGTTTTCGTCACAGAAGTTCCGTGACATGCTTTATTAATTTATTACCGTCAGAGAAAGTTTGCCAGTTCTTCTGTCACGTTAGTTTACCCACATGAAGCTCAGCTCTTGGGATGTCACTGGGGTGCTGTTACATTTACAACTAACATTTTATAACGTTAACCGTTCTATAACAAGGAGACTCACTCCTTTGTTCAAATATATTGCTATAGAAGCCAGCGAGGCACACATCTGTCATCATATGAACAAATGCACACGTACAAACACATATACACACACGCAGACAAACTTTAATACACAAACTCTCTTGTAGATAGTCCAGTTAGACTCTTGTAGGCATATAACTTTGTCACCTTGGGGATGCCAGACACAAATACACTAAATAAGTACTTGCCTAAATAATTACACTACTGCTCATTCTGGAAATAAAAAAATAAACAACTTTCCAGGCAATCCACAAATATTTGTTTTATTCTCTTCTACATAAAGTATATGAAAGGATTTATCTCTGACACTTGCAGTCTATTTAGGGAGGCAGAGTCAGGTAGCACATCTACATAATGTTACCAAACCCAATCTCTTCTGCCAAAGTCTTGGCAGGAGATGCAACATGCCATAAAGCTCCAGACAGAAAATTTAATCACAGTTGTGTAAAATGTTATATTTGCACAGAATAATAAAAAAATTGGAAAATTATAAACTATACCTGGAAAAAGATATAAAATGCAAATCAACACAGAATCACAAATCCAGCCATTTCAATTCATCTGTGTCTAATGCCATCTTACTGGGAAAGTAACCTCATGTTCCACTGAGCCTCCTTCTGTTCTAGCTGGTGCTCACTACAAAGCCCAAACAATCCTTTTGACTCAGCATCGTAAGTGCTGGATTAGAGGTGTGCACCACCATGCCCAACGCCTGAATTTTCTTATCAGTGTTGTACTAATTTCTCATTCGAATCAGCTAAAATATCCGATGTTTCCGTGTCTCTGAGGGTCTACGGGTGACAAAGCCCCACTCACCTTCCGCTCTGCTGAGGCTGGAGAATGTCTAGCAGCAGTTGTTTAACTTCGCTGGGTGAGAGTTGATACAAGTCCATGGTCGGTTGATCTCCACCCCGGATCTGTAGCTCATATTCCATGGCATGGATGATCCACCTGAAGCAAGAGCAAAGAACTCTTCAAATGCCATTGCCTCGTGCTGCTTTCGGCAGTTCCCTTCATAGCACCGATGCATCCAGAGCGGGATGAGGAAAAGGTCATTTACACTTCCTGCATCATTGGTATTTCTTCCATCCAGACTGTAACCTGATCAGAATCTTAAGGATGCTTTTGAACTTGCAATTGGTTGCAAGACATGGGAAAGCTAAGTAGCTAGATTCTTCCCAGGTCAGACTCACTACTGCCATATAATAGTATACGGAAGCAAATAGCTGCTGCAAGAAACATGCCAACACCAAATGGCACATAAGCGACTCATCTTAAGACAGGGCTGAGACGTGCCGTCACATACAACTTCTCTTCCTGGGAAGGACAAGAATAATGATGATTTCTAAAAGTATGATTGTTTTTTTTAAAAACACATAGGTCATTGACTTGGGGTTGGTGGGAACAGAGAAGTGCCAATGTTTGGAATACAAGCGACAGTTAGATGCAACTTAGCTATAGTGTGTTGGAGAAGACAGAGGATTGTCTTTCTGTTTGTACTCCCTTAAAGAATAACCCACAAGGCTACTGTGTGCACAGGCGTGAAAACTTAAGGCAGATACAGTCAAAAGACTGAAGTCCTTCTTTCTGTCAAAGCTAGTTTGCAATACAATAGTGACACTCCTTTGTGGGAAGACTTTGATGTCTCAGTGCAAATGATGGGAGGAAAACTTTAAACCACACCAGGTGAGCCCAGGTGGAGGAGACAAAGCATAAGTCCCTGTGTGCTGGGTGCTGGGCCAGACCACAGGCCACAGACGACAGTCTCCAGTCTGTGTGTGACTTTCAATCTCTGTGGTCTCAGATGAAGACAGTCTCCAGTCTGTGTGTGACTTTCAATCTCTGTGGTCTCAGATGAAGACAGTCTCCAGTCTGTGTGTGACTTTCAATCTCTGTGGTCTCAGATGAAGACAGTCTCCAGTCTGTGTGTGACTTTCAATCTCTGTGGTCTCAGATGAAGACAGTCTCCAGTCTGTGTGTGACTTTCAATCTCTGTGGTCTCAGATGAAGACAGTCTCCAGTCTGTGTGTGACTTTCAATCTCTGTGGTCTCAGATGAAGACAGTCTCCAGTCTGTGTGTGACTTTCAATCTCTGTGGTCTCAGATGAAGACAGTCTCCAGTCTGTGTGTGACTTTCAATCTCTGTGGTCTCAGATGAAGACAGTCTCCAGTCTGTGTGTGACTTTCAATCTCTGTGGTCTCAGATGAAGACAGTCTCCAGTCTGTGTGTGACTTTCAATCTCTGTGGTCTCAGATGAAGACAGTCTCCAGTCTGTGTGTGACTTTCAATCTCTGTGGTCTCAGATGAAGACAGTCTCCAGTCTGTGTGTGACTTTCAATCTCTGTGGTCTCAGATGAAGACAGTCTCCAGTCTGTGTGTGACTTTCAATCTCTGTGGTCTCAGATGAAGACAGTCTCCAGTCTGTGTGTGACTTTCAATCTCTGTGGTCTCAGATGAAGACAGTCTCCAGTCTGTGTGTGACTTTCAATCTCTGTGGTCTCAGATGAAGACAGTCTCCAGTCTGTGTGTGACTTTCAATCTCTGTGGTCTCAGATGAAGACAGTCTCCAGTCTGTGTGTGACTTTCAATCTCTGTGGTCTCAGATGAAGACAGTCTCCAGTCTGTGTGTGACTTTCAATCTCTGTGGTCTCAGATGAAGACAGTCTCCAGTCTGTGTGTGACTTTCAATCTCTGTGGTCTCAGATGAAGACAGTCTCCAGTCTGTGTGTGACTTTCAATCTCTGTGGTCTCAGATGAAGACAGTCTCCAGTCTGTGTGTGACTTTCAATCTCTGTGGTCTCAGATGAAGACAGTCTCCAGTCTGTGTGTGACTTTCAATCTCTGTGGTCTCAGATGAAGACAGTCTCCAGTCTGTGTGTGACTTTCAATCTCTGTGGTCTCAGATGAAGACAGTCTCCAGTCTGTGTGTGACTTTCAATCTCTGTGGTCTCAGATGAAGACAGTCTCCAGTCTGTGTGTGACTTTCAATCTCTGTGGTCTCAGATGAAGACAGTCTCCAGTCTGTGTGTGACTTTCAATCTCTGTGGTCTCAGATGAAGACAGTCTCCAGTCTGTGTGTGACTTTCAATCTCTGTGGTCTCAGATGAAGACAGTCTCCAGTCTGTGTGTGACTTTCAATCTCTGTGGTCTCAGATGAAGACAGTCTCCAGTCTGTGTGTGACTTTCAATCTCTGTGGTCTCAGATGAAGACAGTCTCCAGTCTGTGTGTGACTTTCAATCTCTGTGGTCTCAGATGAAGACAGTCTCCAGTCTGTGTGTGACTTTCAATCTCTGTGGTCTCAGATGAAGACAGTCTCCAGTCTGTGTGTGACTTTCAATCTCTGTGGTCTCAGATGAAGACAGTCTCCAGTCTGTGTGTGACTTTCAATCTCTGTGGTCTCAGATGAAGACAGTCTCCAGTCTGTGTGTGACTTTCAATCTCTGTGGTCTCAGATGAAGACAGTCTCCAGTCTGTGTGTGACTTTCAATCTCTGTGGTCTCAGATGAAGACAGTCTCCAGTCTGTGTGTGACTTTCAATCTCTGTGGTCTCAGATGAAGACAGTCTCCAGTCTGTGTGTGACTTTCAATCTCTGTGGTCTCAGATGAAGACAGTCTCCAGTCTGTGTGTGACTTTCAATCTCTGTGGTCTCAGATGAAGACAGTCTCCAGTCTGTGTGTGACTTTCAATCTCTGTGGTCTCAGATGAAGACAGTCTCCAGTCTGTGTGTGACTTTCAATCTCTGTGGTCTCAGATGAAGACAGTCTCCAGTCTGTGTGTGACTTTCAATCTCTGTGGTCTCAGATGAAGACAGTCTCCAGTCTGTGTGTGACTTTCAATCTCTGTGGTCTCAGATGAAGACAGTCTCCAGTCTGTGTGTGACTTTCAATCTCTGTGGTCTCAGATGAAGACAGTCTCCAGTCTGTGTGTGACTTTCAATCTCTGTGGTCTCAGATGAAGACAGTCTCCAGTCTGTGTGTGACTTTCAATCTCTGTGGTCTCAGATGAAGACAGTCTCCAGTCTGTGTGTGACTTTCAATCTCTGTGGTCTCAGATGAAGACAGTCTCCAGTCTGTGTGTGACTTTCAATCTCTGTGGTCTCAGATGAAGACAGTCTCCAGTCTGTGTGTGACTTTCAATCTCTGTGGTCTCAGATGAAGACAGTCTCCAGTCTGTGTGTGACTTTCAATCTCTGTGGTCTCAGATGAAGACAGTCTCCAGTCTGTGTGTGACTTTCAATCTCTGTGGTCTCAGATGAAGACAGTCTCCAGTCTGTGTGTGACTTTCAATCTCTGTGGTCTCAGATGAAGACAGTCTCCAGTCTGTGTGTGACTTTCAATCTCTGTGGTCTCAGATGAAGACAGTCTCCAGTCTGTGTGTGACTTTCAATCTCTGTGGTCTCAGATGAAGACAGTCTCCAGTCTGTGTGTGACTTTCAATCTCTGTGGTCTCAGATGAAGACAGTCTCCAGTCTGTGTGTGACTTTCAATCTCTGTGGTCTCAGATGAAGACAGTCTCCAGTCTGTGTGTGACTTTCAATCTCTGTGGTCTCAGATGAAGACAGTCTCCAGTCTGTGTGTGACTTTCAATCTCTGTGGTCTCAGATGAAGACAGTCTCCAGTCTGTGTGTGACTTTCAATCTCTGTGGTCTCAGATGAAGACAGTCTCCAGTCTGTGTGTGACTTTCAATCTCTGTGGTCTCAGATGAAGACAGTCTCCAGTCTGTGTGTGACTTTCAATCTCTGTGGTCTCAGATGAAGACAGTCTCCAGTCTGTGTGTGACTTTCAATCTCTGTGGTCTCAGATGAAGACAGTCTCCAGTCTGTGTGTGACTTTCAATCTCTGTGGTCTCAGATGAAGACAGTCTCCAGTCTGTGTGTGACTTTCAATCTCTGTGGTCTCAGATGAAGACAGTCTCCAGTCTGTGTGTGACTTTCAATCTCTGTGGTCTCAGATGAAGACAGTCTCCAGTCTGTGTGTGACTTTCAATCTCTGTGGTCTCAGATGAAGACAGTCTCCAGTCTGTGTGTGACTTTCAATCTCTGTGGTCTCAGATGAAGACAGTCTCCAGTCTGTGTGTGACTTTCAATCTCTGTGGTCTCAGATGAAGACAGTCTCCAGTCTGTGTGTGACTTTCAATCTCTGTGGTCTCAGATGAAGACAGTCTCCAGTCTGTGTGTGACTTTCAATCTCTGTGGTCTCAGATGAAGACAGTCTCCAGTCTGTGTGTGACTTTCAATCTCTGTGGTCTCAGATGAAGACAGTCTCCAGTCTGTGTGTGACTTTCAATCTCTGTGGTCTCAGATGAAGACAGTCTCCAGTCTGTGTGTGACTTTCAATCTCTGTGGTCTCAGATGAAGACAGTCTCCAGTCTGTGTGTGACTTTCAATCTCTGTGGTCTCAGATGAAGACAGTCTCCAGTCTGTGTGTGACTTTCAATCTCTGTGGTCTCAGATGAAGACAGTCTCCAGTCTGTGTGTGACTTTCAATCTCTGTGGTCTCAGATGAAGACAGTCTCCAGTCTGTGTGTGACTTTCAATCTCTGTGGTCTCAGATGAAGACAGTCTCCAGTCTGTGTGTGACTTTCAATCTCTGTGGTCTCAGATGAAGACAGTCTCCAGTCTGTGTGTGACTTTCAATCTCTGTGGTCTCAGATGAAGACAGTCTCCAGTCTGTGTGTGACTTTCAATCTCTGTGGTCTCAGATGAAGACAGTCTCCAGTCTGTGTGTGACTTTCAATCTCTGTGGTCTCAGATGAAGACAGTCTCCAGTCTGTGTGTGACTTTCAATCTCTGTGGTCTCAGATGAAGACAGTCTCCAGTCTGTGTGTGACTTTCAATCTCTGTGGTCTCAGATGAAGACAGTCTCCAGTCTGTGTGTGACTTTCAATCTCTGTGGTCTCAGATGAAGACAGTCTCCAGTCTGTGTGTGACTTTCAATCTCTGTGGTCT